TTCGGGAGTCCAAGTGTATAATTTACAAGTGAAATGATAACATAGAACAAGATAGAAAACCAAGTAGTATGCAATTTGTGAGTACCACAGGACGTTTGGTTCGCCGAAGCCACTGCACAATTACGGCACGCCATAGATATTCAAACAACTGTTTATTACTCCCTCCGTTCTAAATTATAAGTCGTTTTGACTTTTTTCTATACATACATTTTGCTATGTATATAGATATAATATATGTTTAGATACATAGCAAATTCTATGTACCGAAAAAGTCAAAATGATTTATAATTTAATTTGGAACGAAGGGAGTAGATGATTTAATGTAGCAGATTCTCTCTCAATCCTAAAATAAACACAAATCTTGCTTCTCGAGGAGTCAAATATTTTTAAGTTTGACTAAAAATATAATAAATAATATCAATATTTGTATCTCTAAACAAATTTATTATGAAAGTATATTCCATGCTCAGTCTAATGATGCTTATTATATATCATAAACATTAATATATGTCGATGTGGGACCTACAGGATACCCCGTAAGAGAGATAAAAGATCTAGTTCAACTAGGATTCTTCCCATGTAATCTTAAATAGAAGAACTATTAAGTAATCCTACTAGGAAATCTCATTGTAAACCGACTAGGACTCGAGCCTCCTGATAATATAAAGGAGGGCAGGGCTCCTGAAAGAGAGGACAACAATTGTACAACATAACACTTCATAATCAATCCAACGCAGAAGGCAAACACCGACTGGACGTAGGGTCGTTACTCGATCTACGATCGAGGGCCTGAATCAGGATAAATCGACTGTCTCTTGCGTTTACCATCGAGTTCAGCATACGCCGAAGCCCGAACGATACTGCCACGGTACTCCTGTGGCAGACTATCGGTGGTAAAACATCGACAGCTGAGTGCATAAAGTACTCAAACAAAAAGATAGACAACTCACAGTTGGGGGCGGGTTGTTGGCTGAGAACTCGGTGATAGCAGGGGGAATGACGCTCACCCCTTTCAGCATCTTCTGAAGACGCTCGAGTGCCTCCTCACCGGTCAGCTCAAGAGCTGGGACCATGCGTGAAGGATCCTCGGCCCCAGAATACTCAAAGCCAAGATGCTCCCGCTCTTTCAAGGGCTGAACCCGGCGACGAAGAAAGCTCGAAACAATACCAAAGCCGGTCAAACCCTGCTGCTTCAGCATGCTAATCCTATCAAGGAGTGGCTGGAATCACTTGAATCTCAACAGCCGCGATTCAAGTTTCTTGTCCCATCGGTCATTCACCACAGGACCAGATCCGGGATGAATGGCAAGGGAAGGGATTAAATTGGCAGCGTAAAACCACTCGGCACGCCAATCTTTTACAGAATCGACCAGGTCATAGTCAAAAAACTTAATTTTGAGACCCTAACGGCCCGAATCCAAGAACCGTCAAGAACGCTGGTTTCTTCACGGCGGGGTTGAGGTTTCGACGAAAAGAAAAAGCGAAAAGAGACAGAGAATGAGGGATTCCAAGGAAAGCTTCGCAAAGATGAACGAAAAAGAAAGATGGAGAATGGCATTGGGGGTTAGGTGGTTCGGACTAATCCCGAAATAACCAAGAAACCGATGAAGGAAAGCGGAAGCGAAGGCAAAGTCCGCGCGGACAAAAGAAACGAAAAGGACAATCTCACCAGGACCCGGGCTGGAACCCAATGCTCGCCTCGAACCCTCCATTCAGCGATGACTTGCTTTTGGATCAAGCCATATCGCTAACGAGCTCAAGTACTGGTCTTTGTTTGTTGTTGGAGCCGGCCAAACTTTCTGAGCAGCCCTCATAGCCACGAACTCCTGGTTTTCGATCAAAGAAAGGGATGACTCCTCGTCTACGAAGGTCGCCTGAGACTTGCTTGCGGTTTTCTTCTTTCCCATGAACTGGCGGAAGCAAAAGATGCGCTAAAGAAGATGTAGGATGATGGTGCTCGGGTTACGGCGACGGTGACGGCGGCGGATTTCTGAAAGCTAGGGTTTAAAGGCAAGAGTTGGGCAGCAAAGGGTCTTTAAATAGGTTTTTCAGCGATACAAACGGCCCACAAGGCCCGATAAAACATAATGTGGGAACGCGACGGTCCATTTACCGACGCAGCTAAAACGATGGAGGGCACAAATCCACACAACAGTACAAACCAACGGGCAGATTTCAGACTTATCCATCCAGCACCACGGCAGGGTTATCAGATCGCTACAAGAACAACTCGTAAAAACAAGAAGAAAGAAAGAAGAAAGAAAAGGCTACCTCACAAGGAACAAAAGAACCCGGTTATTTGAGAAAGAACCCGGTAATCTCATGGACAACGGGGATCGCAACAGAAAAGTAAAAGACAACTCAGAAGACAAGATTCGTTACATTACAAGCAGAAGATTACAAACCTTAAAGACAAGATTCGTTACATTACAAGCGACTTCAAAAATAGAAGATTACAAATCTTACAAGACCCAACGAACTCGGCACCACGAAAAGCAAGGTAGCAAAGAGGAACGCGGACACGGCTAGGCTCTGGAACGACTACGTGTCCCAAATTGCTACTCGGAAGGACAAACCGCCATCAGCTACACTATTTTCTTCAAAGGAAGGACGCAGCAGTGCACTCAAAATCGAAATCAGCGACGGGCGAGACAACATGGAGCAGAGAAGGCGGGGGCATCTATCTACCCAAGACCGATGTGATATCAAGATATGGTGTTGATCTGCTACGGACGATCTCAAGACAAAGCGACGAGGATCAACCCAGAATGGTCGATGAAGAAACGGGGCCCACATCACAAGACTTCCTCCAACTACCACCACATACATCCCGGCACAATCTTTGTCATGGGATTAGCCTACCTCTAATCCCTATCACAAGACTTCCTCCATTCGACAAGACACACAGAACTACAAAATATGCTCGGGGGCTGCTCTACTTCACAAACTACCATGCTCATGTCCACGAAGGTTTCAACGGAATATTCAATAGATGAAAACAAGCACTCCGGGACAGTATTTATAGACCAAAGGAGCGGCGCACATGGATCAGGAGTACCGACGAAATAAGCCTGACAAAGAACACAGTGAAAGGACAGGACTCAATAATGGACGACTCAGGCGAGAGGAAAATAGTACTCGAAGACGGGCATATTCGGAAGAATATACCATCACAGTACAACCCGTGAACAAAAAACATTTACACTCAACCACCACCATACAACTACATCTGACAGCAGCAGACTATCAAAGAATACGCCAAGACCTCGCATCCGAGTTCTTCCTGAATAAAACAACACGGATATACGCTCGGGGGCTCGGCCAGCATCATAGCTTAATCAACACTAAGCTAGGGAATTCGGCCCTCATTTCAACTACTCCCGAGGGCTCAGAACCAAAGACAAAAGACAAAAAGTACAAGAAACTCAAGACTACAACGACGACGACGCATCAAGACTCTTCAATCGACTTCTTTTCCAAAAGAAAAGAACTCGGAGAAAGCACGAGGCTGCGGGATACATAGCCTCAGAATTTTTTAAAGACAGGAATCTGGACCCTCCAACTTTTGCAAGCAAAAGCAAGAGGCTCGGGGGCTACACTCAGTGAGTGCAATTTTTATGAAAAATTGCACCCACCAAAAAAGAACCCGGACATAGGCTCGGGAGGTCGCACGTCATGCGAAACTACTCGGATGATGGTTTAATCCAAGACTAAAGGACCGCTTGGGAAGATACCACGAAACTACTCGGATGATGGTTTAATCCAAGACTAAAGGACCGCTTGGAAAGATACCACAAAACTACTCGGATGATGACAAAATTCAAGTCTCGGGGACTACTTGAGCCACGATTTTCAAACAAACATAAGGATCAAGACCCTCTAACTTTTGTTCCAAATAGCAAGAGGCTCGGGGCTACACTCGGTGAGTGCACTTTTCTCCGAAAAAGCGCCGTCACCAAAAAGACTTCCTCAACGCAGACTACTTCAAGACATTATGACAAAAGAACCCTAACGAGCCATATTCGAGTTCTTTTGACAAAACTTCAAATAACAATCGAGCAACTTCAAGAAAAGATCCTCCACTCCCTTGTTCCAAATAGCAAGAGGCTCGGGGCTACAACCAGATGGATGTACTTTTTCTTTACAAAACACTCACCACTCGAAGGTCTCAAGAAGCGCTACAAGGTTTCACTCCGAAAGCACTTTCGGATAACATCTTGTTCCTACCTAACAAGACCTGAAGGAGCAAAGCGAGACTTTCAGAGCTCAACCATGAAGTGCTCGGGGGCTTGTCGATGTGGGACCTACAAGATACCCCGCAAGAGAGATAAAAGATCTGGTTCAACTAGGATTCTTCCCATGTAATCTTAAATAGAAGAACTATTAAGTAATCCTACTAGGAAATCTCATTGTAAACCGACTAGGACTCGGGCCTCCTGATAATATAAAGGAGGGCAGGGCTCCTGAAAGAGAGGACAACAATTGTACAACATAACACTTCATAATCAATCCAACGCAGAAGGCAAACACCGACTGGACGTAGGGTCGTTACTCGATCTACGATCGAGGGCCTGAACCAGGATAAATCGACTGTCTCTTACGTTTATCATCGAGTTCAGCATACGCCGAAGCCCGAACGATACTGCCACGGTACCCCTGTGGCAGGCTATCGGTGGTAAAACATCGACAATATATTTGTTCCAAAAAAATATTAATATATTTTTATATATATTTGATCAGACTTTAAAAGATTTGATTTTTTAGAAGGTAAGATGTGTATTTAGTTTGGAATGGAGCGAGTATCAGAAACCTTTTTTTTAAAAAAAACTGAGTACAACAAACTCATCACACTTAAAAGACTCGGCAGCCAATTTGAGCACCACAACTGTGGCAGCGCCCCAACTGCGGTGTGGCTCGCAGCACAAGTTCGACAACCTTGGCTCCCAGCCGCCGGCCCAGCCCAAATTCCTTCTCGCCGCTGCGACCTCCGTGCTCCGGCGATGCAGCGGATTTCGCTGCGACTTCTGCGCTCCTCCTCCTCCGCCGCCGCCTCCACCACCTCCTCCTCCCTCGTGGCCTGGCAGTACCCCGCGGCGGTTGGCCCGCCCGACCGGCGCTGCAGCCTCCGGTGCGAACCGCGGCGCCGGCCGACCTCACCCGGTGGCCGCCGCAGAGGGGTTACTCCCAGTTTGCCAGCGGGTTCACCCCGCTGAAGCCAAAGCCGCTGGGATCCATCCTGGACATCGAACGCGCCAAGGGCCTCTCCCCCGAGCACCTCGTCGCCGCCTGGGATGACGTCAGTCCCCGCCCCCTCACTGGTCATTTCATTATTTCATTCGTTTTTTGTGTGTCTTATATATAAGAACTGAGGAGATCCAGCTTGGTACTTATTTTAAGCACTGTGCCCGAAACGAATTTTGTGTGTGAGGCTATGTGAATGATCTGTTAAAAGGAAGAGAGGAAATGATATAAACGTTCATTCAAATCTGCTGACCTTTTCAATTGCAAATGACTTTCTAAGATGTTTGATAATGTGGAAGTTTGGACTTAAATTATTGCTAATAGAAGAACATGTCAGCCAAGCAAGTAGATTTATTTCTCTTACCATGTTTAAGGAGAAAAATAAGAAATAGCGATGATGTTTTGAAGCTATGGTAAAATTGGCCGTTTTGAAAGGTTCTGTTGAACTAACTTATTGAGATAATTAGGATAAACTGTGCTATAGAATCTCAATGGTGGTGATGTGGCCTCCACAGCATCATTCTAGTTACGTATTTGTGTTTTCACTTTTCAGTTCCAAGGATATCAGTATTTGACAGCATTTGTCCAACTGTCATGTCACTCTAGTGGCATCTCTGATTTTGCTTGTTTGCACCAAATAGTGAAGGGATTGGGCAAGTGGGTAGTATTCATTGGAAAGTTAAACAGCATTAGCACAATACTTTTAGAAACATTGCATTTTGTTATGGCTTCGATTGTAGAATTTAGTGCTGTAACCAACATTAGAGAAACATTATTTGTTGAGGATAAAACTGGCATTGTAGTTATAATCAGCATTGTTCTCAAAGGTGATTCTTAAGAACCATACTTTTTGTGCCGTAGGATGCATACATCCGTGCATATGTGTGCATGTTGGGGGATATTCTCTTACCTTTTTGAACTTCTATATTCAGAAGGATTAACATTGTGGCCTCCAACTCTCTTATTTGGCCTGTTTAACCCCGAAATAAAGGTCAACAACAATAATTTTGAATGTAATATGAAATTGGTAATGTTTATTAAATTCTTTCGTTCTTCTGCATCAGTCATTCAGACTTTTGTATTTGTGCTGATGTTTTGTGTTCGTGACTTGTGTCACTCTTCCTTTTCTTGAATATTAGTATCATTTAGGAAGGGGTCATATAGGTGCATCTATGAAAGCGAAGCTTTACCATCTCTTGGAACAAAGATCAGATTCATGGTATTTTTCTTTAACTTTGAGTTACTGGTTGCAGAGTTTGCAGTACCATGATTGTGAATTTTCTAATCTAATTTTGTTTGTATTTTAGCCGTCACTTTATTATTCCTTTGTGGAAGGGAAGTGGATACACCACTATGTTCATGCAAGGTACTGCTCAGTTCTTTGCTAAATATTCATAATTTTGATTGATCGTTCTTGTTTTCTTATTTTCCCCACTGAATATAGCACTAGCATTCTAGCTACCTTTGTTCATCCTTAAATCGTTTCCCTTTATTGTGGAACTGCCTACTATTGTGTTACACGTTTTGTTTACTTTGTTTAAATGGACCCTTAAAAAACAGCCTTGTAATACAAAGTGTAGAACTAGGAAGCTGAATACCGATATGATATTGATATCAGCATTATTGTTTTTTCTGTGCTTACAATCAAGATAAGCTTATTTTATGCTTTACCCATCATCGTCCTTCATGTATCGCACCAAATTTGATGCACAATCTGTGGTCAGCTATAACTAAATAACACAAGTTGCATGATTCGTGCATCTAGATCTGAACATTTAACTTAAATGTTCATGGTATTAATATATTCTCAAGGTATAGCAATAAGGGATTAGTCTGTCCTCTTATAATTTTTGAAGCGCCACTTTTGGACAGGAGGAAAAAGGCATTAACTATGTAAACCTTTTCACTCAAGAAATAAACAATTTAATACCAAAGGGCCTGTTTGGGAAGCATATAGTGGTAAGTTTGCATGACATGCAAAAACCATTGGCACCACTTACTATTTTTGAGCTCATTGTAGTAGCTGGCCTAATTTATTTAACCACGAGTTTGTTAGAATTCACACTGTTCTCTTTTGAACTTTTTTGGACTTACTGTTTCCTTTTGCTATACAATGCCCCAGTCCAGATGCCATACATGATCTTCACAGGACTTGAAGACTATAAAGCACGAGGCACTCAAGCAAGTCCTTACTACACAGTCACTCATTACACAGAGTTTGCAGAAACCAAGGACACAGTGCTTATTCGAGGAGATGTTGTTTTCACAAGCAAACTAACTGATTCAGAGGCAAAGACTCTTCTAGAGACTGCTCACTCATTCTACGTGAATGATGTGAGGTACAGACTCGTGGAGCGATTCAACAAAGAGACTCATGATTTTGAGTTCGGGGACGTCCTTCAAGTGCTTGACATGCCAACCATGTGACCTAGTTTAATTCCCAACCAATAGCAAATATTCCTAGATCACATTGATTTTCTGTCACCTCAAATCCTCAATTTAGCACGGGAGATTTCTTTCTTGCATCGTCAAAGGGAGTAAGATGGAGGCACTGGATATCATGCTGCCTTTGCTCACCAAGCATTCTGTGTCGATTTTGCTGACTGATTACACCATTAGAAATTTTTGCTGATTGCTGTAAGCAGATGAGGGTTTTCAGGGCTGGGACACATTCAATATATTTTCTGTTGTATTATTGTACCCATTAGATCCAATAATAACATTTTTACCATCTTGATGTATTGCCCTTTAATAACTTGGTGGAAAACATAAAGCAATTTGTTTGTGGGCTTGTGGCTAACTGATGACAAATCAAACAAAAGGTCAGCGCGGGTTAGTGCTAAAGTCACCTAGTCTTATTGCGGAAATTAGCAGATACCTTTGGTGCTTCGGAGTTGATTTAGCTTTTGTTGATCGGAAAAAGGGTTATTGCTGTTCTGACTTCAGGTTTTATGACATGGCGCCAAATGCAGTTAGATGGATTTTCTGGTGGGTGGTGGCCTCCAAGAGTCTCTTTTAACCTCACTATCTAAATTATTATTTAGAGTCATTTAAATAAAAATTGCTCTCAATATCTTTTATCCTCCAACACGTTCTTTATATCTTAGTGCACACTTTAGGGAGTTAATCATGCTCTTAAGAATAGATTATGTCTATATTTAGGGATGTAATTTAAGATGCTGTTGGAGAATATTTTTTCTCATCAAAGTTTCTAATCCTATAAATAGACTCTTGCAGAGAAATTGTGGGTGAAAGTAGCCGAACTGATTAGCGGAGATGCGACGGAAGGACTGAAGGAGGCAACCTAACGAGACTTTCTGCCACATGTGGCATTTATAATTGCAACATCATATTTCTTATATCAGACTAAACTTTATTTGATCCTTGGCTAGAAGTTCATTCTTGCATGCTCTTTTCTTTAGTTCCTTGTATGCAGGGAGCGTGACTCATAAGAGATACAGTTTGGTTGCTTGTATGAGTACAAATGGTATACAATAATGCTCCACAGCGAGCGTCCGGACGGACGGACCTGACCCGCCCGACCTGACCCACCCATGCCGCACGCCGCCTCCCGCACTCCGCCTTATCCTTCCCGCGCCGCTTGTCAGTTTGCTTAAAAAAAAGCGCTGCTCCCTTCTCCAGCGCCAGGCTGCTCGTCACAGGCAGCGCAAGGCCGCTCACCACGGCCTTCTCCGGTTCCCTCTAGCGTCGCGGCACCGCATCCGCCCCCATCCCACACTGTCCGCAAGACAGCGTCGCTTCCTTCTCCAGCTCGAGGCTGCTCGCCCCAGGAAGCACGAGGCCGCTCGCTGGAGCCTTCTCCAGCGCCCTCAAGCGCCGCGGCGCTCCGCCTGTCGTACACCGCTGCCTGTGGTGCCATCTCCATCCCGCCGATGCTATCTCCGCCACCGGTCGCCTCACACCCGGCCGTGCGGACGCCCCGAGCTCCCCGCCCCCGCCGAGCGCACGCCTCGGTGCAGATCTGTGATGCCGCCGCTAGAGCCGCCACGTCAAGCCTCGTCCCCGAGCTTCCCTTCGCCTACGTGGAGCCATCGCAGTTCCTCGCCACGTAGGCCGTGGCCGCCGGTGACAATGTGGTTTCAAGTGTTTCAGGTCTATGTTTCAGTTGTTTTATACGTTTGTTTTAAATTTTTTATCTGGATGTTTCAAAAGTAGATCTTGGTGTTGCACATGTTGCAAGGCTACACACGCATGTTTCAAACGCGTGTTTCAAGTGTTTCATCTTTTTAGACTTATGTTGCAGATGTTTTATCTCGATGTTTCAAAAGTAGATCGGGGTGTTGCACTTGTTGCAATGACTATACACGCATGTTTCAAGTGTTTCATCTGTCTTCAGACGTATGTTGCATATGTTTTATCTGGATGTTTCAAAAGTAGATCGGATGTTGCACCGTGCCAGGTGGCTAGTGGAGAGCGGCCTACCGCAAAGATTTGGCTCCTACCTCACGCCTTCCTCGCGCAGCGCGCCTCGCCCTCTCCTCTCCCTCCCCTCCCTTTCCCTTCCCTCCATCTCGCCATGGCCGTTCGAGCTCGACCTGATCTCCATACGGACGAGGGATGGGTGATGGGCACGGGACAAGGGAGCTGCGTGCGTCGGGCACAAGCGAGGGAGCTCCGTACGAAAGGGCGTGGCCTCCGGAGCGGGATGGGCACCCAGCAGAGGGGGTTGCGTACGTCGCGGTTTTTTTTATTCAAGTGTACATCGCGGTTGGGAGCGGGATGCAGGCGCGGGCGAATGGGATCCGCGTCCGGACGCAGGCCTAGGGCTGGACGTCCGGGCGCTAGGCTTGCCAAATCATGTAACATGAGTGTATCAAAATAAATATTAAAATATTGATTATTTTATGATATTATGTCATAATAACATTTAACTTTTCTTATCAAGGCTTAATTTGTTTTAAAATCACTTAATATTCATAATTATGTGCTAATGACGTCATTAATTGTACTAATACCCGCTAATTCTCGCACGGGCAAGCCTGGCTCGCCGGATAAGACATGTGTTTCCCTTGGGCCTGGCTCGAGGGAGCCCTTTTGGATGCACGCGGCGTGTCTCGGCGACACGGCTAGGCATCGAAACACATGCTTCCTACACATGATGGGCTTGGCTAGAGACGATATGAGCAACCAAACATGTCATCTATGTTTACCCCTGACCAAAGTTTTGGGTCCGGTCAGTTTAGTTCTCCAAACAATTTGAATTAGCCCAATTTACCCTTAAATGCCAATTAGCTTTTTAGATAATCGATTCATTAGCTGGCAAAGAAAAACTTGTCTCTCAATCATTCTGTTAATCCTTTAGTAGGCTGCAGGTTCGGCGGCCTTTGTGTGTGAGCACCGTCACCTAAAAGGCCCCCAGAATCACATGAGAGTCGCCGATGAATCGCAAAGGAGGAAAAATACAGCTCATAAAATCAGCTCCACTCCTGCCTGCGTGTTGAGTAACCACAGATCCAAAAACATATGCAAACTGCTCTCACATGCACTTTTGTCTGATGGGTGAGGCTTTGCAGCGAGCGTCGGAAGTATGTACGTGTTCGCCGGAATCCGGCTGGAAAAGGTGAGGTTTTAACGAGGGCCAGGGGCGAACGCGTAGAGCAGGCGAGGAGCCTCAAGAGGCTATAAAAACCTGCCTCCTAGTCACCCGTCTCATTCGAGTGCTCTGCCGGCCTACTGCTGTACGCGGAGGTAGCTAGCTGCCGAGATCTTTCTTCCATCTCCTCTTGCCTGCCACTTTGCACGTTGTGGGCGGCGCCTGTGCGTGCTTCCATTGGTCGGTCGGTCGATCATGGGGAGCCAGCAGAGGCAGCGAGCCACTGATGCTGACCCTGCTGCTCTGCGCGTCGTCGTGGGGGTGGTCGCAGCGGCGGCGGCGCAGAACTACAGTGCCATCTTCAACTTCGGCGACTCCATCACGGACACGGGCAACCTGTGCACCAACGGCCGGCCGTCGCAGATCACCTTCACGCAGCCCCCCTACGGCGAGACCTACTTCGGCACGCCGACGTGCCGCTGCTCCGACGGCCGCGTCGTCGTCGACTTCCTCAGTGCGTTAGCGTTTCATTCAAACCCAACCGCCCCAACGACATTCATCAATTCATCGATCGAGACGCGCTGTAATTGTGCTCAGTGCTGACGAATCCATGAATGGCATTGCACAGGCTCCCAGTTCGGGCTGCCGTTCCTGCCGCCGTCCAAGTCGAGCAGCGCGGACTTCAAGCAGGGCGCCAACATGGCGATCACGGGCGCGACGGCCATGGACGCTCCCTTCTTCCGCTCGCTCGGGCTCTCCGACAAGATCTGGAACAACGGGCCCATCAGCTTCCAGCTCCAGTGGTTCCAGCAGATCGCCACCGCCGTCGACTGCGGACAAAGTAAGATAGATACTGTATACATGATGATCCTGCTATTATTATTATAGCAATCAATCACAAACTCGATCAATGCAATTCGCTGGGCCCTGATGGATTTGCCGTGTGTCCTGTACGGCGGCCGGTGGGCAGGCTGCAAGAGCCACCTGGCCAACTCCCTGTTCGTGTTCGGCGGCAACGACATTATTTTCGGTGGCTACTCCATCGAGCAGGCCAGGAAATACACCCCCAAGATCGTCAACACCATCTCGAGGGGCATTGATGTACATGTGCACACAATGCAGTCATCACAAACTCTCTGTCAGTTGACGGCTTGACGCATGACACATGATGCATTTGCCCTGATGCATGTATGCAGAAACTGATCGGCCTGGGCGCGACGGACATCGTCGTCCCCGGGGTGCTGCCGATCGGATGCTTCCCGATCTACCTGACCATCTACCAGAGCTCCAACAGCAGCGACTACGACGACCTCGGCTGCCTCAGCAGCTTCAACGACCTGTCCACGTACCACAACACGCTGCTGCAGAAGAGGGTGGGCATCATCCAGAGCCGGCACAGGAAGACGGCGCGCATCATGTACGCCGACTTCTACTCCGTCGTCTACGACGTGGTCCGGAACCCACAGACCTACGGTACGTACGCACGATCGATCGAGTAGTACCACTCTAGCCTCTAGCTACCTACTGCTTGCATTGCTGTCGTCGTACGCGTATCGTATGGACCCTTCGTCGCAGAGACAGAGCCTTTTTCTTTTCAACGCGCCACTCTGATTCCTGTGCAAAGTGGCAAGCACTACACTCCACAAAGTATATATACTACTTTGTGTGCAGAAACAAGCATCGTGTCTATGTGTGCTGCAGGTGCACCGATGTGTCGTGCGTCGTGCTGGTGCCGCACGCATCATTGAGGTACAGAGCTGAGAATATGACAAGGTCTTGTGGTGACCATGGCTGACGATGATGTCCTCTATCCTACAACCATCAATGAGGACCTCATCGCGACTAGGCTGATCCTCGAGGACGACGACGGTGTGTGTGAGGATGTTGCTGCCTTGCTCGGTAGCAGTGTTGCTCCGATCAATTTGGATGTGGGTGCAACACAAGGCGGTGCTGGTGATGGAGGCTCCAACTCCAATAGCACAGAGCTAGCTTGGCAACCACAGGTAAGTGTCCCAGATCCGCTGTCTGGAATAACTACGATGAGGTCTTTGAGACTGTTAAAGGTAAATATGTTAGATCTGCTGCTAGATGCAAGTTTTGTAAGGCTAAATTGTCTGCTCGTTCTAGTGTTGGTACTGGCCATTTCCTTAGGCATCACAAAGCATATAGGAAGAAGGCTAACGATGCTTCTATGGTTAAGTCTAGGCTTGCATTGAATCCTGATGGTTCTGTTCGTAACTGGGGTTACAAACCTGAAGTTGTAAGTCACTTGATTGCTAGGCTTAATCTTTCTTTAGGAGTGAGTGATACAGAGGCCTCAAAGGAGTACATCTAGCGTGCTCATAACCCACGGTTTGCTAAGTCTCTAGGCAGACCACATCTTGAGATCTAGTTAATAAGTTATTCAATAAACGCCCACTAAGCTTAAAGAAGTTGTGTTGCCTGGTGTTTCTTTTGTTGCTTTGACTTCAAACATCTGGTTTGGTAATGCTAAGGAAGATTACATAGTGTTGTTGCTCATTTTATCACTGTTGATTGGGAAATGCACAAGAGAGTGATAGGTCCTAGACTTATTGAAGTCTCTCAATCTGGAGTTAACATTGCTAAGCGTGTTGTTGTTGTTGTTGTTGTTGAGGAATATGGTTTGATTGATAAGGTTTTCTATGTCATTCTAGATAATTCTTCTTCTAATGCATGTGCCATGACAACCTTGGTACCTATGTTTGCTGTTTACTTGGGTGTTGATCCTGATCCTCATGAACCTCATTTCCGCTTATATAATCTTGTGCATCAACATTATGCTTGCCATATTATTAATCTCATTGTAAAATCTGGCTTGAAGAGGTTGAAGCCTTTCACTGATGATTTTAGGAATGTAATTAATTTCTTGAATTCATCTAATTAGTGCATTGATTTATTCAGAAACTATTGCATTGCTAATTGAAAGTGCAATCAAGCCCTAATTATGGATTTTGGTGATAATGACCACACAATTAGAGAACTAATGAGATTTATTGAGATGACAAGCATGGAATTTATATTCGAGGATGCTACACGAAACAGAGGAGCCCCCAATTACAAATGTAGATGGCTTCAAACTCAAAGGAGGTTTAAATTCTTTTATATTTTGAATCTGAGTATAGAAAAAGCCGTACTATAAAGGGGGACACAATGCTTAAGCTAATATATGCTACGATGTGCTCAAACAACCACATGCATCCTCAGATTCACAGCCAAGACAGTCTATACTTCACTATCACTCTTGTTGTCTTGCGTGGTGCGGCACTACCGCACTTTGAAGAGAGGCACTACCGCACTTGAGTTGCGGCACAAGGAAGTTAGCGCCCACGCTGAGTTCCCCGGATGGCTCGAGACGCACCGTGGTCTCCGTCTCGCCCGACCTCGAGGCCGCGGGCTCCATCTCGCCCGACCCCTTGGGTGTGGTGACCGATGGGGGCTGGGGGTATATATACCATTCCCTTCCTCCCCAACGGCTATCTGCCTCTTCTTCCCCACTTCAGCACGCTCAAAACAGAGCAGGAGCTCTCTCTCTCCCTCTCCCTCTATTGTTGACCTTAAGCCCCAAGCAAATCCATTGATTTCCCTATCAATCCTTGAGGGAAAAGGGTCTAAAACCTGATTAGAGAACAGCTTCATTGATTCCCCCAACTCTAAAGAGCACTTGGTTTACGTTTTAGCCGGCGGTTGTGTTTGTTACTCTTGGAGCTTGGCTCCTAGCCGGCTAGAGCGTCGCCCATGGAGCTTGCCAACTTGTGTGGTAGGCTCGGGAGGTTTGTAACCATCTCTTGAAGTTAGTAAACTCACGTCTCATCTCAAGAGTTAAGTATCTTGATTTGAGAATGAGTAAGGGTTGAAAAGCCCTAAGCCTTAGTGGCTAACCTCAACAACGTGGAGGTAGGCAAGCCTTGGTGGCGAGCCGAACCACGGGATAAATCATTATGTCACTTGTGCTTGATTTACATTACTTGCATGACATATTGTGGTTGAGGTGATTTCTAGGGTTTCTAGTCGATCTACCTGTGTGTGGTGTTCCTACCACTTCTAGCTCTTGATCAGTGATTGTCATACCTGCAGTAAGCTTGGAAATTTCTCTAATCTAAGTTTTTGTTCACGGATTTTGAACTGTGATTCAAAGTTGTCTGTAGGTGCGGCAGTGCCGCTGTTCTGGCCCGCAGTGCCGAAGTCCGGCAGTGCCGCTCTCCAGAGCGGCAGTGCTACTGGATGAATTTGATAAAAGTTTGAGTGCTTATTTTGACAGGTCTATTAACCCCCCTCTAGGACAACCAAAGATTCTACACTAATGATGTGCGCCCTCGTAAATTTAGTTTTGATATGGATGTTAGATGAAACAATTGGGGATAGCATAGTGGTAAGCCCTAAGAAAAAGGGAAAATTGGTTCTATAGCATTGAAAGATTGGTATGTTTGGAAAATACCATACAAAGTTTGTTGTTCCATAAAATAGCATTGAAAGAATGAACGTTACCCTAAATTAGCATTTTATCATGTTTGCCGTTAACGCCGTTCCTGACTATTCATTTCGATGGGGCGGCGCGACCATCGGTGCCCAAGTGGCTGCCGTAGGCGCCGGACTTGACTTCCTGGACCTGGCGCCGGACTTGCCTTCCTGGACTCGGATGCCTCGGTGCAGGCACGCGACAGCGACGCGTGCCTCCTGCACGACCACCGAGAGGAGCCCGCTGACACAGCGCGAAAGAGTCCTGGATCGCCGCCTAGTTCCCGACGAAGGAGAAGGTGCCGCCCGTGGCCTCCGCGGCGGCGTGCATCGCGACGGTTGCGTGGTTGGTGTCAAAGCCGAACGTTAGGATCGGCGCCGGCCGACTGCTTTGACGGCACGAGGACGGCATAGCTCTTGGTGCCGTTAGGCCTAACGCTCATCCAGCAGCCGGAAGTGTCATGCCCGTCGGAGTGGAGGATCATGCTGGTGACATGCGAGCGAGGTGGGTCAGCAAACGGTCATGGTAGCATCCGCCAGGCGCAAGTTGTGTTCGCTGCACTCCATGGTCCAGGGCTCTTGTCCGAGATGCAGGTCGCGCTGCGTTGCGGTGACCCCACGAGTTTTTTTATAAGTTGACGGGGGGGGGTTTCCCCCACCTGAGATTATATTGATTTCAGTGGCCCTCTAGGCCAGATGTTTGAAATACATAGCAGTACACGGTTCAAAGATAAGACTAGTTCAGGTTTACATTGTGGCAGTAAGGATAGAGCACCAAGCATCTACTGTCTACCTATCTTTTCTCAGTAGACGGACTCACCACAGGTTTGCCTCTGTCTTGCACGCTGCCAAAGTGCCTGCCAGCGTAGTCCGATCATCTCGGAAGACCGTGTTGTTCCTGTGTTTCCAGATGTGCTAGCAGCATCAGAGCAAGAATGTTCCAAAAATGAGTTTGTGGTATGTGTGGTGGTGGCCTGATCTCTTGCAACTTCTGAACACCCCCACGAGGTTGGCGTCCGTGTCCGCGCCTCGGCCCGCATCAATGTAACTAGCACATCTCCGCTCGTAGCTCTGCTCGCCGTTTGCGGTCACCAAACGCTCAATCTGTTGATTGACCATATTAATTGTTTCAGCCATGTACGTATATAATTATATTTCCATCTTTTGCAGATCATCGTGCCGCGCAGTGCCGCTGCACCTCGCAAGGGCAGCTCCACTGGCGGTACATCCTCCTGGCGGTGCCACATGTTGACGTCGTCGTTGGAAAACACACGCATGGCAGCCGCGAATGGCGAGCGAAGGCGTGCGGGCACTAGTAGCCTCACAGAGTCACCGCAGCGGAGCGCATGTCTACGCCCTGGTGGAAGATGCCATGGCCATTCGTGAGGCGGAGGAAATCGTTGAGTACAGGTTAGACGGACCAAATGACGACCAACAGACGACGTTAACAGCAAATATGACAGAATGCTAGTTTAGGGGAACGTTTCATCCTATCGATGCTATTTTACGGGACGGCGAACTCTCAATGTTATTTTTCAAAATTGGTCATCTTTAGATGCTATAGAACTAATTTTCCCTAAGAAAAAGCTACAGTTGGTTATTTAAAACCATGGTCCTTCACGCAACTTGTTTTTTGTTTTATATATACCACCTTCATTCGTGAATTAATCAAATTCCAGAATTGTACTAAGTCCAGCTTTTCTGCATCTAAATTTTTTTATATAAAAGAGCAATAACATTCATGACACAAAAAGTAGTATGAAAGTACATTTCACATAATATTTAACTATACTAATTTTGTTTCATGAATATTTGTTTTTCCCAATAAAATTTTGTGAAACTTAAAAAAGTAAGTTTGTCTTACAACAATTATAGAAGTTGATTTATTTAGGGATAGAAAGAGTATATCGTAAATCAAATGGTATTGAGAATATTTCATAAACACCATATTTAATGGCCAGTTGTAAGAAAACTCAGTTGTTGCATACATGTCACTTAACCTAGGTTTATGCTACCATGTTTCACAAACCTTAGCTTTTTTATGTTTTCCATGAATTTGACATGTGGGCCTCAAATTTAGGATGATATAGCACTCATGAATTCAAGGTGATGCGGACGGGGTACCCAAGTTTTCATTAGGTAAAGATAACTGTTGATTTGGTGGAGAATCGACACACACGATCTAGCTTCTAGTCAGACAAAGATGCAAACTTTGCAATCGTAGCATCATGTTTTCTCTGGTTATCAACCGTGCACCGTCTAACTGACCTCATCCATTATAAAATTATAAGAACTTACATTATCATGTCTTTCTGCAGTGAACCACATTGAACAAGCTGAAAATATATCTACCTGGACTCAACATTTCATCTAGTGCTCTCTCCAGGCCTGTGCAGCTTAGCTTGTTCGTGGTGAAACACTGCCTCTCACTCTTCTGCATATAGGCGATCAACTGCTATGCTGCTACCAAGTGTTTTTGGTCTTAAAGGAATATACTACTATTTTAGTCATTGGATAGCTAAGTGAAAATGAGCATCTATTTTAAATGCATGCTATCTCTTTTTGTATTAAGCGTCATGCTAAATTCTCGGTAAAAGGAGTTAGTCGTATTAATTCCTTTCCTTATGTACATCGTGCTATTGCTCCATAGTGCTAGTGGTAGGGCACCGCGAAGCACACTTTCTTTTCTAGTATAATAATTGTTTGTTTGCGATTCGATTTTCATATGGAATAAGCTTGTGCGCTTATGCCCGTTGTGATGTGAAAAAGGGACAGTAACTGAGCGGATCCACGTGCCTTTGTGGAGGAAACAAGCTAGGAGGGTGCGTGTAATCTACTCTTATCAAGCCAGCCGACTTTGGCCGTCACTGAGCCCGTCCACATTAGCAAAAACAATGTACATCATTTGATCTGTTTTTAACGCTTCAGGTTTATCCACCGCTTAGTTCTCAAGCCAGTCGACTTTGGCCGTCATTAAGCCTGTCCACGTTAGCAAAAACAATTTACATTATTTGATCTGCTTTTAACACTTCAGATTTATCCACCGCTCAGTAAGTGTGTGCCACTCCACGTATTAGCCTCCCATGGGCTCGACACAAAAATATCTTCCTCGTCTCCTCCACTTCTCCTGTTGCCTCCTCGTCTCCTCCGCTTCTTCCTCCCCCAACGGCGACTCCTGCTCCCTCCGCACCGGGCCACATCGGCCGGCGACCGGCCCTAGCAGCGCGGCCGCCCCAGGAGCGTGCGACGCCGGCAACCCGGCGAAGCAACCCCAGTGCCACAGCTGCTGCTCCGCCCCTCCCGACACAACCAAGCCCTAGCGCGGAGGCACGGACGACGACCGGCCCTAGCAGCGTGGCCGTCCCAACGCACGCGACGCTGGCCACCTCGGCGGCGTGGCCCCAGTGCCATCGCTGCTTCTCCGCCCCTCCTGACACGAGCAAGCCCTAGCGCGGTGGCACGGATGCGGCCGTCCCGGTGCGAGAGGCCTCAGTCGCGACCAGCCCTAGGTGAGGGTGTGTTGCCTCCTTTGTTCCTCTCCCCTTCCCTTGCCGACGCCAGGGACGGGCGATTTGTTGATGGAGATGACTATTGGAATGAGGGTCAGGCCACCACGATGAGTTTCTCTGAGGTTTGGTTCTGCTGCCCCTTTGTCCTTCTTTCTTGTCGCAAGCAAAGAGATAAGAAGCATGCTCAATGTTTGTTCAATCCGATTTAGCCAAGTTGCAGACCACTCAAATGTTGGGAATTATGAGGATGTTTATTTTGTCCTAAATTTTGTGCTGCAGCTTTGATGGTATCAGTTTTGCCTTGCTAATATCGTAGAGTTAATGAAAGGGATACCTTCTCCATGCTACCAGCTTGCAACTAATTTTAGTTGGGAATTCTCTTTAGTTTTTGATTACTGTCATGCTTCTATTGTCTAGAAAAAGTCTTAATTTTATTTGTAAAATCTTTGGAGTAATCTATCCTTGAAATTGAACTATATTAATGCACCCATCTTTTTCTTTCAGATGCGATCCGGTGATTTGCATGTTTCTCTTTTGTAACCACTATTGGACCAAGGTGATTTGGGTTTTATTTATTTTTTTATTCCCTTTCAATAGTTGTGTACGCAATTCTAATGTTCTTCACGTATATGAGTGAGGCATGTTTCCTATATCAGAAAATACCGAGCAACACGCAGTAGAAGATATTCTTCAAAATCTGCCAAACTTGATTGCTTCATCTTGAATTTATGTTGCCAATTTCCTGTCTGGACACAAAACTAATACTATTGGACCTTCATTTGAATTATGCTTTAGGGGCTCCACAAGAATAAACCCTGGGAGGAGATAGCCCAGTGTTTTAGATGAACCTGTCTTTGCCACAGCTACTATATCGTGACCCTTTATACCAGTTGGAGATGACTGAGCTTGGATACAATTTCCCTAAAGCAATATGCTAGATATTCATTTGGTATGTCATTCCTATCAGATTGTTCAAGCATCTTTGTTGAGCATGGACATTAATTAATTTAGAGTTGTTGTAGAGAGGCCTAAAAGGCATTCATTTCTGGTAGATTAGTTTGCACAGCAATCAGAAAGAAAAATATTGGGCCTGCCCTTGTTTCAATCATAGGGTCAGGTGACCTTCTTTCCATTCCATCTTACAAGAAGTTCAGGACATCTGTGTCAGCTTCGCTTTTTCCCATGTGTTCTTAGTTTTCACGGTATTAGTTGGTCCTCATGGATGTGAAGCTAAATAATTGTGTTATGCATATAGACCCAGTATAGAATTATCAATGCCTACCTACATTGTCCATGCCTGATATTCTGTTTTGTTTTACTCTTTCTGCTACTACCATGAATTGGATGAGATTTAGATTTGAACGCATAAATGAGTCCTCCTACACTGATTCGTGGCCTGGATGCAGGGATTCCAAAGTTTCCAAAAGTCTTATCTAGATATTTTTATATTTCTTTGCAGCTCATCCAATGCCTACGATGAGTTGACTGCAATCACGAACATGGCTTCGTGCGCCCTATTAGTCCTCACTGCCCTCTCCACCAGCATGGTTTGCTAACCAACAACTTAGAGTTGGTACCATTTCTTTCTTGTATCTCCTGCTACTTTGTCTTTGCTTAATTTTCAACTATATATTAATACCACAACTGCTCCTTAGTGCCTTAGTGGTTGCAGTTATAGACTTTTCACGAAATTTAGGAGCAGCCTACCATGGTGATCTCTTCCATTGAAAGCAAGAAAGCTTATCCCATCAAGGTAATCATTTTGGGCCCTTGGACTTCCTTCATGTACTAAGTTGTAGTATGCATAATGTTTATGGGACATTTAATTCCTGAATTTACATTTTATTTAGTAGAGAGGAATTTAGTGAATCACTGTGACAGAATAAAAAGGCAACAAATAAATTGAGGGTTTAGAGTTTAGCAGTCCTAGAACCCTCAATTTATCTTTGCTTGGTTAATTTATACCATAAGCGATAGCCCAGTTCCTAGAACCTTCAATTTATCATGTTTCCAAATTGATAGCAGTCCTTATGGTCCCACTGTCTTGTAATAGTTCCAATCTCTTTGAAGAGACATACATAGACACTCTCTCAAAAGTTTCTCATTATCCATCTGTAAATTTTCAGCACTGACAGTACAGTCGTTGCAAATGCAGGAATGAAAGGTGTTATGAGCACTCATAGTACCTATGCTCAGATGGATAATTACTTCCACGAATACCGTGTTGAGTACCTAGCAAATTGTGCATCAAAAGAGAGTTATGCAACTCCAGTCCATCAGGTATATCATGGCCTTCCTCTGAACCGTTTTCCCCCTTGATCCATTATTAGAAACCTCTGCTTTGGTGATGTTTTTTTCTTGTTTCGTGTGGTGGGCACAGGCCGGCAATGATGACCTCACATTGTTACAATGGATGCTGGCAGGAATTGTGCCATTAGACCTACCTCACTCACCCACCAGGGAGGTTGCTTAATGAAACTATCCATTGCTAGAAGAGGTTGCGCCATACTAGAGCGCTCCCTCAGTTCCGTGTAGGTTATGCCGATGGGAGCAATCCAAGTTTGCATCTATGGCCTTCATCCATCGTTGCTTCCAAAGTTGTATCAGTATGTGTTGTTATTCAACTCCATTCTATAGTCAGTTTCGTTGATACGTGCCATAGTCTTCTCTTGCCATTTTTATAATTTCTGCTATTAAATATCTGTAGGTAATGTCAGGTTTAGTCCCAAACTTAGATCTCTACTGCTCTGTTCGTAGACTCATCCTGTCACATGTCTAAAGAACACACTGAATAGGCTTGGCCTATTCATGGTGCGAAATTTGAGAGTCACTTTCAGATGCAACTTGAATATAGAGGCAAAGATATGGCTAACCTAACATAAATATATACATATTTATTTATCTGATGTGCTTTATTGATTCCGTTACAAGTTTGTATTCGCTCCTGTGTGGCTGGTAATTGTATTTTGAAGGAATTACATACTTTAGCTCACAAAATTATTTGAGGCAGCCTATAAGTTGCCTTCTTCGCATTTAATTCCAGTTGAGTTTATGGCTGTTACAACTGAGTGGTGGGTGGTCAGCAATCAATGACCAGTAGTAGTGGTTGGTGATGTCAATGTATGTGTTTTGTTGCCTTTCTCAGGCCCGTTGTTTTTCCCCTTTCAAGTTTATTTGCTGCTTTGTTATTCTGTTACAACGATTCAATATATGTCTGCCACTTAAAGTTAACATTCATAATAAATTTTGATTATTTCAAATTGATGTGAAGGGGCATTTGCTGGATTGAAGTTATATGGAACCTCAGCAGCTAAAGCAAACATTAGCCTTGTTTGAATGGTGGGTCCAGTTGTTCCAGATCCCATTTATTATTTTTTAATATGAATTCTTACATTTTTGCAAAGATGGATTTTTTTAAGTTCTGGCAATCTACCTAGTGTGATCTCCAAGTATTTTCTATGTTATCACAGGTTCGATATTTCATGTTGGAGAGAAGGTACTTTTCCCTTCTATAGAACCTACATTATTCGTAGAATGTTCTCTGTTTCATAATTTGATTTGAACAATTGCCAGCGACTCCAGCATTTAATAATTAGTGTCCATTCCATTTTAAGCACAACAACTACATTTCCTTGCATGATTACTCATTTCCAAGTGCTCTAATGCTTCTGTGTGTTATGCATTTATTTATCTAAAAGTCTCTATGGGTTACCTATAACATCACAAGTCCTATAGAACTCAAAACATCACCAGACTTACTTTTGCTCCACCATTCATGTCTTATATTCCATAACATTTTCTATTTGATCATTGAATATTTAATTTTCTTTAGTTAAGACATGGATTATGTTGTATATGTCATCTAATGAAAAATATGAATTATACTTTAAATTTGTGCACCTGTAATTCTGTATCCTACCTTTCCTCGTTTGCAAGATTTTGCTTTATCCCATGAAAAAAGGTGATGGATTCTTACCTTTAGATATTGTGCATCGACCATCGAGCTACCCATAAAGAGGGGGGGGACTATATTTCAGCACCTTATTATTTGTTATGCTCATCACTCATGGAAGATATTTGGAACAAAAAAAAGCTCATAGAAGATTATAATGCTGTTGTAGTTCAATTCATATAGGTGGTTTAGAATGACAATGGATCAAACCAGATAAGCCTCTCTCCCTTTCCGTCCCCTCCCTCTGCTTTTGGTGTATGACAGGGAAACCCGTTTAGAGGTCATGCAGTTCTGATGTGCACTTCTTTCTGTGACTATTATTCCTTTCCCCAGAAACACACTGAGAAAAGAAGCACGGAAAAACAAATGTACACTTGATATTTGAATACCATTGAAGTGCCTTGCATTTGACACATTGATGATAATTGATATCACAATAATGCAGGTATAACTTAGGCTTTTTCCATGTTGCAGCAACCTGAAACACATTAGAGAACTACAGGATGCATTAGAAGCCAGATCCAGGCCGACCTTTGCAGGTGCCAAAAACTTTCCTTCAAAACTGTTACATCCCTTTTTGACACCTTTTCTTAGTAGATAGAGATATATTGGTTTTGGTTATCCAGCAAACCATAGCAGAGATATCTTGGTTTTGGTTATCTAGCAAACCATTGCTATGCCACTGAATCACTTGACAGCAAGACAAAAAAAACTGATACTGCTAAATGCAGTGTTCTCTTTTTTCTGCTTTTGCACCTTGATGTGAATCATCAAGCACAAATTATCTCCAGCACATGACATGGAAATCATGATTCTTTCTTTTCATTACAATGTCTAATCTGGAGACTGATTATACATATAGACAACCAAAATATGTTTGCTTTCTTCCAGTAAATTACATATAGCTCAAATATTGGTTACAATCTATGCATGCACAGGACGAGGAGCATCCTTTCAGCCATCACAGCTCGGCACACCTTCTCCGCAGTGCTTCGCTTCTCCCTAGTGTTGTCCCCTTGCCATAGTGTGCCAGGCAAGGCCAACTAATCATGGGAGGTCTAGCATGTCGAGGGAAACATGAACCCTTCACATGAAAAGATAGGTTTTGGAGCCGATCTGGCCCCAAGAAATCGAGCTTCCCTTGCCGTAGAGCCCCTCTCTTCGTTCTCATTTATCCTGCCAGCGCATGGGTTGTGCAGCACTGCACGGGTTAGACGATGATCAGAACAAACTGCCTTCATAACCAGGTGATGAAAACGTATCAGCATTTTATTCCTCAAGTCCATCACATATATTACTTCTACGCTTTTCCAAGCACTCCATATCAGAACAACGACAATATTTGTACAGATCAACCATAAAATAGTCCACTATCATATCATTTGATCAGACAGTTTCTACTTCACTGATTATTTCTCAGGTTGCAGTCACCACACAGAATGCATGTGCCACTACCAGATCTCCAGTAAACATTCTTATCCATGCAGAGCACCCATATTCTTTTCACAAACTCATAGAAAAAAACTAATATAACATCTATAGACAGAAAGACTCCAGCAGGCTGAGCTTAGTGTCCATTGACAGCGGCCTTTTAGACCGTGAACCAGGATACTAAACAGCTGAGCCGCACTGCCGCATCGTAATTAAAAGATGCATTCATATGTACAGTTAGTCCAGAAGGAACTGTTTGTACAAAATCTGTATAATTATGCTCTAGACCTAGTTTTATGCTCTAGACCATGTACTACTAATCATGAACGGCGTTGTACAAAACCACTATGCCTATCCGGTACTATGTTAGCTCCAAACTGCCACCATGTACCATGACATAGACATATTACTAAATTTATACATAGTCCTTGTCCTCTTAATCCTCTTGCACTCCATTTATTCAGCATGTATGTTTCACATAGACATCAACCATCCTCATATTACAATGCCAGATATTTATCATGTCTATGCTCCGATCTTAAAAAATATATATATGCACACGATTAGATTTGCGATTATATTTCCAACTGAGTGTTGACGCTCGTGAGGGCACGCCCTACGGACTAGTTGACCATAGAATGGAGGAGCGAGCGGGACGAATAGATAATAATGATAATAACCTCTTTTTAAGGTGTAGAGACGAGGCATAGAGAAGAGATAGATATGAAGGGCCTGTTTGGCAGAGCTACTAGAGCTGATTAGCCGATTTCGTAAAGTGATTATCTAAAATGAACTAAGAGGTTGAAAGCTGAAAAAAGTAGGTTCTCCTGATTTTGTGAAGTGGTTCTCTATCATGATTTTAAAAATCTATGCTAAAGAAATTAAGAGAATTATTTTCAACCACAAAATCATTTCTATCAGAAAATTAGCTTCCATAGATAATTAGAATCACGTGGAGCTCTACCAAACAGGTTCGAAAACTGTCTGGATTCGTATTTGAAACCCCTATGGCCATTATCTCAAGTTTTGAAAAAAAATTCCTTTCGGAAAAAAGGAACTTTTGGAAAAAGAAAAGAAAATACACCTCCCATGAACACATCTAAATGAAACTCTGAACTGATGCAGAGTTTCTAGAGCTGAATTTAGCTAGAGCTCTATCAAACAGTTTTTTTGGAGAAGTGATTCTCTGTTAATTCCGTGAAGTGATTCTTTGAAATGAACTAAGAGGTTGAGATCTGAAAAACTAGATTTTCCTTATTTTGGGAAGTGGTTCTCCATCGTGATTTTAAGAGTTTACGCTAAAAAAACAAATAGAATCATTTCAGCCATAAAATCATTTCTCTAAGAAAATCAGCTTCTGTAGAGAATCAAAATTAAATGAAGTTCTATCAAACAGGCTTGAAAGCTGTCTGTGAGCTATAGATGGCCAACGGGCCGGCATGGCACGACACAGTACGGGCCCGTGAAAGCACGGCCCGATAGCCAACGGGCCGGCACAGCACGCCGTGCCTCCCGAGCCGTGCCTCACAGGGCCACGGGCCTGGCCTCCGGCCCAGGCATGGCACTATGGGCCGATTTTTGTGTCGGGCCAGCCCGAGGCCCACTGGCTATCGACAGAGAGAGAGAGAGGAAGGGGGTCAACGCCGCTCGCTGGAGATCTGCCGGAGAAGGGAGTGAGGGAGGACGCGGGGAGCGGATCCACCATGGAGGAGATCCGTGTCGTCCCACGCTGGATCCACGCCGCCCCTGCCCGGAGAGGTCCGCGCCGGAGGAGAGCACCGCTACAGGGGCCGCGTGAGCTCCGCCGCGGGGGGCCACGCGAGCTCCACCGTGGAGCGCCACTGCAGGGGCCGCACGAGAGGGGCTGCTGTCGGGAAGGAGGGAGAGGGGCGCCGTTGTTGCGCCAGGAGAGTGTGGAGGGAGGGCCAGAGGGAGAGAGAGCGGAGCTCCGGATCTCAGTGAGGAGGAGGAGCGAGTGTGGCAGCGGAAGGGATAGGGTTCGGGCGTGGGGAGGAAGACGGCTACGTGCGGGGGAAGACGGCTACGCGCGGGAGGGAGACGTCGCCGTGCGGGGAAGAGGCGAGAGGCAG